GGTGTAGTTTTTTTTTTTTTTTTGATTGGTTTGATTTGGTTTTTGTTATGTATTAATATTATTTATGTTTGTTTATAAATGCCTTGTTTTTAGTTTTTTTTGATCCCATGCCAGATTCATCTGTTCCCAAAACAGACCCAAACCCCAGTCTAGACCAGTTTTCAGCAGGTACACGCTACAGTAAATCCATTAACTCATCCCCTGCCTCACTTGTACTGTTTTTTCTGTATTCTGTCCTTGACAGCTCAAGGTGAGCCAAATATGCTTCTCTCCTGGGGCAGCTGAAGGAACTGTCTGTCCAACAAACTGATTTCTCTCAGTCCCTTAGGCCTTCATTCACTTCTTAATCATTCCTAATCTTTCCAGCTATGTTTCTCTTGAAACATTCCCAAGACCCATTAGTTACATTATCCCCACTTAGAAACCTTTCTATTTTTGCTTCTACCCTTGGGCTTTATCTCATGAACCTGTCTTCATCTATGAAGTAAACATGTTCTGGTTCTGACCTAAAACTAATGCAATTACAGGTCCTGGTTAACATAGTTGCATAAAGTTACTCTTCAAATAATGGATGTTAAACAAGCAGGACTTTAGGGTGTCAACTAAACCCTTTCCTGTGCTTCAGATGTGTTTTGTCCTCCTGCTGCTGCTCTGTCGGCCCCTATGAGCTGGCCAGACAGCGGGGCAGATCTGGACCTGTTTGGGGGTTGGTAACTACCCAGTTTGCATGCTGGGGGTTTGATTTGCATGTCTTGCTCAGATGGTTGCTGTGGATTCTGTTAAAGCTGTTCTGATGGTTGATGAGATTTCCTGAGCTGACAGTTCAAAAGGCTTTAATGAGGTTTATGTGTGCACTTTTGTGTGAGTTTGTTTCTATTTCTGGCTTTTATTTATGTGTGATAACACTCTCTCTCCATCTCTCGCTCTGGTGTTGTTTCTCAGCGTAATGGCTTTGGCTCACTCTAACCTTTTTTACCCTAATGCTGCATGGATGGATCAGAATCTGCGGGCGCTGGAGAGGCCAAACCAGCCGCAGCAGCTGCAGGAGGAGATCTGATGTCGGGTACGTCACCCAAAGCCCTCGTGACGTCTTATCTTTTTCTTCGTGTCATTTTCATTGCACTTTCAGAACAAAAGGTACACAGGGTAGGTACTAGGTACCCTAAGGTACATCTTTGTACCTTACTTACCCCTAATTGGGTACCTTAAAGGTACATATTAGTACCTTTTGAAAGGTTTGGTACCTTTTTTCTGAAAGTGTGCAGCCAAATTTTTGTCTGGTGTTCAAAACAGTCATGGATACAATACAACCATCATAGTCTATAGCATGGAAAATATAGCACATTTGCGTACCCTTAGAAAAAACGACAAATCACAAATGAGATCTCAGTAGTTTCTCATTGAAAGCTGTGAGATTAGATGGAGAACAAATGGAGACTTGTGCTTAAAGTCAGCAAGTAACAGAAATTCTATTACAGATATTATTGTGAAGTTTGTTCAAAAAATGTTTAGAACTTGTAATGTTTAATCAAAATGTCCTAACTGGACATTCAGTGAAAACGACTTTTCAAATTTTCTCTGGTGATGTCCAATCATATAGTCTGCTTAAGCTCCACCCCTGCAAGATCATATTCATTTGCTACACCCACATCTTAACATCCAATCAACAACCGATGAATAGAAGCAAGTCCCTGCCCTACTTTTTTTCAGATAATCCACTGCACCACGATGTACATCACATTTTGGAAGAACAGATCTGTCACTACTTCCATTTCATTGTGACTTCATCTCCTTCTTATCCAGTTTTTGTTTTCTTGTAGAGTTTCAGAAGAGATATCAATCTCTGCCAAGATTTACCAAGATACTAAAGTCTCCAGTATATTTATGATACTCACATTTATTCAAATGGAACATAACTGAGAACTCAAATGAATCTTTTTTTTTTCTTCTCATTTTTTATAAACATTTCTTCTGGGTATATGCCATTTTAACAAAGCAGAGACGTGTTTAATGTGATGTTTAGTGATGTGTGCGTGTGCCGTTGTGGCATATTGAGTCTAGACACGTTACATCTCAGTTGTGCTGTGGTGATTTTGACGTGTTGAGATGAGATCGGTTTTATTTCCATCCGTTTCTCTCATGCATGGGGTTTACATTCATCTCTGCTCTACACGGACTGAGAAAGTCTTCTTCCCAATGCCTTGCTGCTTAATTCTGCTCTTTTCTCTCATTCACTCTCACTGTTTTGTGCTCATCTGATCTGTTTCTTTCTCTTTTCTTCCTGATTGTGTTCTTCTTCCATTTCTCCTTCCAATGTTTTAAATTCCCTCTCTTTATCATTTTTTCTTCATTTTCCCTCTCTTTCCCTTCATCTGGCTCTTGGGTCATTGCTTGCTTCCTCCTGTGCTACTGGTGAGTTCTAATACTCCTACACCAGCTGAAATCCCACAGTGCATTGCTGCATTGCAGAATAGGGCTTCAGTGAATTCAACTGAAAGACGGCTAGCCAAGCTTGGAAGATTTGAAGATGGGTGGATGAATGAATGAAAGTTTAAATGCTTTACAAAGATCTCTAGTGTGAGATTCTGTACAACAACATGTAGAAAGTAATGGTAGAAATGTATATTATGTGAATATTGTTAAGTCAGTGCTCAGTAAGAGCTTGTGTAGGCTATTTTAGGCTTGATTCACAACATATGCGAAGAAGAAATATTTACGCTGCTTTCCAATTCACCTACTACTTTGCCCTAAAAGTATGTACTCTATTTGTGAAGAAAATGTACATACTTTTGAGTATGTAGCAGAATAGTAGGTAATAGTAAGCTCACTTCGTCATAATTACATCTTTAACAGACCAATATGTTGCTTAGTTACGTGCATCCTGTCACAGTTTAAACTGCCCTGTCAATCATCTTGTTACATATTCACATTATTCACATTTAGATTGATCGGCTAGTCGCGTGTCTTTCATCCCGAGAACTCTCCTCATGTGTTTGCATAATGATGCTTTTAAAAGTTAATGACCAAACGAATGTTTATGAAAGTTCACAATGTTGTTGCAGATGAAATATAATACGGATTACATTAAATAAATATTTTTTCATCAGGTTAGATATTGGTTATTTATCTCTCAAAACTCTTTCTCTCCCTGTCCGTCAGTCTCGCATATCCGCCATGTTTGTAGTTTTTTTTTACTTTTTTTTAATTCATGTATGTTGTTCTAATCGAATCCTCTTCCAACACGCAATGGGTTGTGGGCAATATTTGCCGTTAGAGTGTGCACGGATCTGCACTTCAAATTTCCACCGAAAATTGTAAACCATCCAGGTACCTCACATTTCAACATACTACGATTTGGGACATACTAATTCTAATACTATTTAGGAAGGATAGTATGCGAATTGGGATGCAGCATTAGTGTTTTTTTAGTATTATTTATGTACTAATATTGTCTTTAATATATTGAATTAGCTTACATAGTTTTTATTGTAATATTTGGTCATTTTATGTGCTTAAAACTTTTCATTTAACAAAAACATTTTAATAGTTAACTGTAATAATCCCATGTAGTAACCCAGAAATCATGTTATTTTCAGTATTTAGCTGCAGTTTGTGGCGTCATTATTAAAGCACAAAGCAAGCCTTTGGTAGTTCTGCTTATGCATGCTGTGTGAAAGAAGTCTTATACTTTGTTAAATAATGATAGTGATGGTAAATGTTATGATGAAATGAATGTTTAATGTGTCATGAGTTCATGTGAGTGTAGCCGATGATAGCGCTCAGCTTCCTCTCTTCCTGCGCTCATCTTAAACATTTTTCTTGTACTGGTTGCCATAGAGATGTACACTGTACAGTATAAGGGTTGGTAGCATTCAGTTTAGCTCCCATTTTGTTACTATTACTAAAATTCAAGCTCACAATGTTTTTCTTACTCTTCACTCCCCCATAAAGCTTTTGATGGATTGGGTGATGTGCTCATGCCAGCTATGGCTCCGCAGGCAGCAGGGGCCACCTCACCGATCAAACCCATGGGAGGAAACCTGGACTCAGCTATGGCCAACATGGCCAGCAGTACGTTCCCATCCACTTTTAATTTGGTGTACTCCAAAATCATATATGACTAACTATAAGATTACTATAGTCTTAAAATTAAAGGTTCCTTATTAGCAGCTATGGTTCCATGAAGAACCTTTAGAAGGTTCTTTATAGTGGAAAAAGCTTCTTTAGATTATTTAAAATGTTCTGCACACTAAGAAAAATAAAAGTTCTTTGCGGTACCCTAAATAATTCTTCTATGGCAAAAGAAAAAAAAAACCTTTTGGAACCTTTATTTTAAAGAGTACAGCAAAAAATAGTTCTTTTAAAGATTAAGGTTCCATGAAGAATATTTAATATCCATGGAATCTTTTAATTCCACAAAAGGTTCTTTAGATTTTTAAAAAGTTCTTCACACTAGGAAAAAAATATTCCTTTTTAGAACTGTTCACTTAAAGGTTCTTTGGGGAACCAAAAATGCTACTTCTATGGCATCATAACAACAAAAATGTATGTATGTGTGTGTATGTATATATATATATATATTTAAGAGTGTACGACTAACTTAACATTGTAAGAATCTAAAAATATATGTTTCTGTGTCTGTGCAGATTTGGCAGTGGGGAACCAGAAACCGTAAGCTACAGTAACTTCCTACTCTATATTTCACTATATTTTCTTGTCCTCTCAAAATAAATATTTGTGTATTTGTTCCTCCTCTATTTCTGTTTTTTTTTTTTTTTCTCTCAGGGGTGAAGCAGCTGGAGGGGCGAACTGGCAAGCGCAGGTACCGACCCCTAGCTGGGGCGTTGCCATGGTAAATGTGTTGTTCTGTAGATGTGGAGCATGGGGGTGGAGTCGCATGGCTTTGAGTAGCATGGCGTGGAGCCAATCACAAGCTTCCTCTCCTCCCCGCCCCTCTCTTGGCTCCTATCAGCTGAATGAAAAGGACTAAAGAGGAGGAGCTTTCTCAAATTTGAAACTTAGTGTTGACATATTGAAAAATCAACTGTACATTTCTTAACTTATTATTATTAATTGCACTGGTGCTCCTGTAATTTAGATAATTGCTTATTTACAAAAGGATGTTTCCAATTTTGAATTCATAATCTTAATCTTACTTTCAATTTTTGTGCAATTTTGTGTTATTTGTGTGCAATGTGAACAAAGCCAAAGAGTAGCTTCAAATCAAGTCAATTTACATGAATATTGCATTTCAGGTTTAGTCTTGATTTAGAGCTTCAAACCTCTTTGGCTTGATAGCCACTTCCCTTTTTATTATACTACTAAACATACATGCATGAACATCCCTCCTAAAACATTCAAATTCACACTTACATCAAACTGCTAACCACCATCCCAGTGTGTGCAGATTCCCTTCTGTGTGTCTGTGTGTCGTTTTGTTCAGGTGTTGTCCTGTTCTGTGTAGTTTGGTGCTAACCTTTCCCCCCATCCCTCCCACCCACTTAGACTTCCCCTATCGGGGTCTGTCCTGTCATGGGATCCCTGTCACCATTTGGCATGGTAAGAGTGTGTGTTTATGTGTATGTGTGTGTGAGTGTGCAGGTGTATGTGTCTCTTACTGTGTCTCTCTGTGACTCACAGCCTGGTGCAGGAGCTGCTCCCATGATGCCTGGCTCACCGATGATGGCCACGCAGCAACCAATGATGAGGCCACAGTTTCCCGCAGCAGGAGCCCCTGGACAACCGGTATTTTAGACATGCATGCAGTTGAATTTACTGATATAGTTATTTGGTGTGTAAATACACACATATTTATTATCGCTCCTTGCATGTGTGCGTGTCCTCCTCAGATCTCTCCAGGAATGGCCCAGAGTCCCAGGAAGCCTCCCCCTCCTAAAGACCCTCTCGCTGACCTCAATATCAAGGACTTCATGTAGACGAACAGCTGGTGTAAGTTTCACTACAGCTAGTGCAGATGTGCAATTTGACCACAGGACACACAATGAGACACATCTGAAATTATGTTCTGTATCTGATGCATATGCAATATTAAGAATGTAGTCGAAAATAGCCTGCTTTTAGAAACAAAACATTTACGAGGCTGTAACCACCAGGGGAAGACAGTCCAATCAGTATTTAATCAATATTCAATATCTGTACAGTCATTCAATATTTGAGACTTAGAAAGTGTTGTATATATATATATTGAGTTTCTGAGTTTTTTTTCCAGTGTATAATACTGAAACCCATTTCTTTTTTTCTCTATTGCAGTTGTCACACTTATTGTGCAGACCTGATGAATCAGACATGTGTATTCTTTCTTCCATTCATCACAATGAGGGCCTCCAGTCCCTCCTTTTCTCCCTTTCCCTTCCCTGTCTGTTGTTGTAGCACAAACCGTGAATGTGAATAAGTACATGTGTGTATGTGTGTTTGTATTTCAATGTTCTCAGTTACTTCAGATCTATATATTTAAAAAAAATGAAACAGGAGGAGAATGACAGATGCATTCTTGAATGTGCATCTGCATGTCTCTTAAGGATAGATGTGCATTCATTTTTCCTGGCTCGCTTTCCGTGGGAAATCAAATCAAAAGTGTGACGTTTTATGTGGAAAATGTTTTTTTGCTGTGGTGAATATCACTGGGCCGGTCTGTGTCATCATCAGTGGAGTATTAGTCATCTTTTGACCATGGAATAACTTCTGTGGGAACAATATCAACGTATTACGAGTTAAGATAGTGTCTCACGTACTGTTTGTTTTTATCAATGCCCTGATTTTATTCTTTTTCGTATCTATCGATTGTGAGTTACATGCAACATGTGACTATTTTATGAAAATACATATGCATTTTAAAAGACAGATTGTTTTGAATATCCTTAGTCTTTATTTTGAGATAAAAAGGTTGAATATATTTTAGTTATGTCAGAAGTTTACTTTGCACATACTACATGGCTAGTTAGTAATCCCATTTGTACAAATGTCTGTCCATCACAAGGCACTGAGCCGATCGAGTCCTGCTAGTATGTACAATATAATATCGCAGCATGTAATTCCTCTGTTGAGCAAAGGGGATGCCATTGAGCCAGATCAGATTCTATAAGCAGCAAGTTCACCTACATCTTAATCATCAAATCAGTCTTAAAAGAATAGTTCAACCAAAAATTTAAATTTGCTTAAAATGTACTCACCCTCAGGCCATCCAAGATGTAGATGAGTTTTGTTCCTTGATTAGAACAGAAATGTAGCATTACATCACTGTCTCACCAATGGATCCTCTGCAGTGAATGGGTGCCGTCAGAATGAGAGTCCAAACAGCTGATAAAAACATCATAATAATCCACAAGTAATCCACACCACTCCAGTCCATCAATCAACATGAAACAAAAACATGTGTGTTTGTAAGGAACACAAATCCATCAAAACAGTTGTAACTTCAAAACGTTGCTTTCGGCTAAAATATGAGTCTTGTATCTATAAAATTGCTTTCTCTGGTGAAAGTCGTCTCATCTGAATCAGGAGAGAAATAGGCACATATGAAACCATTTACAACAGACCAAAACAGTTCTAAACAAATATTGGTGGATTTTAATGTGAGAGGACAACAAGGAACGCCCTTTTTCACTGGAGGAAGCGTTATTATGGATTATCGCATCATATTTTGGCCAGAAGTGACGGTTTAAAGTTAAAATGCCTCAATGATGGATTTGTTTCTTACATACGTACAGCTTTTCAATCACAAATTGTTGATTAATGTACTGGAGTGGTGTGGATTACTTGTGATGTTTTTATCAGCTGTTTAGACTCTCATTCTGACGGCACCCATTCAACTGCAGAGGATCCATTGCTGAGCAAGTGATGTAATGCTAAATTTCACCAAATCTGTCCTGATGAAGAAACAAACTCGTCGACATATTGGATGTCCTGAGGGTGAGTGAGCAAATTTTAATTTTTTCAATGAACTTTTTATTTAAAATAGGTCTAAATATACCTGGCTGCCTAGCGTTTTGTTGTATTACAAGTGAGTGTATTACCAATACTATTTGCTACAAGTATCAAGGATATCAAAGGGATGAACGGCAGTTTAATGGGACAGTATTGCATTTTATCGATGGCTGTTTTTTATTTTAACTGAACATTTTGTTGATAAATTTTATTTTTGGATGTAATAACACCCTCTGCCCCTCCAACCTTTGTGCATGTTAGTCCTGTTGAAATGCAATAAACAGTGATCTGGAGAGAAACATAATTTAGTCATTATTAGGTAGTGCTTGACAATGAGGATCATATAAACATACATAATCCCAATTCTGTGTCTCTGATGCACAAGCATCTAATGTCTCTGTTACACGGCAAACAAAATATAGAGTTGAGGCAATCCAGGATGTCGAGGCCAAGATGAAGATGGCATAAGGTATTTATGGCAAAAACGACACTGACAAATCCACAACCTCTGAGCAAACCAGTGTTGCCAAATGATGAACACCGATGGATATGAATAAACATCAGCGTCCCCAAATCTCATTCTCAGACAGTGTTTGGCATGACAGAAAATACTTCTTAATAAATAAATGTGTAGTAGAAAAGAGCACTGGTGGCTAACAGAGCGACGGACAGCATCATGTTCTTCCTGTTCTCTCCTCTCAGCACCTGCAGCTCCTTTTCTGAAGAATAAAACGTATAAGATACTATCATATAAAAATTGCTCCCACAATGATTTTCTTTACCAAGTGATGCAATGCATCAAGAAATCAGAAATCTGTCACCATTTTGCATGCTTCATAAGAATTGTAGGAAAATAGCTAGTGTATTTTGAATAAACAAATCCACAAATTCATACACTGGGTATTATTACAAAATGTATCATTTGTTATTACATTCCATGACCAATGCACTTAATTTTCATTGTCCGATTTATGCATTTTTACACCCCTAAACTTTCCAGAAAACTGACTAACCGTATTTCTGTATTCTTTCATTCAATATGGTCAGCTCGTCTTCCAGGGCCAGCCTGTAAGCACATTAAAAGACTCGTTTGCTGTATTAGATAATGCGGCAAAAAGCTTATTGTGTTTATAATGATGTTGGCAAAATCACCTGTCGTTGTCTCAGAGTTGCTCTTTTCTCTGTCTGAATTCTTCTTCTTCTTCTTCTTCTTGGCTTTTAACGGCTATTGGTAATAAATAATTGATAATAAATAATATTGATGATAATAAATCATCAAAAAAAATTTGGCTTGTTTTTGAAGCAGCGGTTTCTTATTTGTCTTGCGAGAGTTGGCAACAGTGAGTGTAATTTGCGCTCTTCAATGCGGTCAATCTAAAGACACCAACCTATGAGCATCATATCTCAATAGATACAACGATATGAAAACGGACATTTTCACATAGGACCCTTCAGAATGGCACTATGACACAACGACATTATGATCTGCTTTACTTTGTTTTTATATATATATATATATATATATAATTTCACATCTAATTTTCATTAGACTGACATAAGTGTAAGGTTATCTGTTAGCTGTTTCATACACATAATATGGCACACATTTTCATCTATTAATATGCCATTTACCTCACTTGCCACACTTATTATCTCTTTCTTCAAGGTTCTTGATTTACTAATTTTTGAGGATCTGAGGCTCTTACTTCCGTACACACTCTCTTGCTTGTCGCTCGCAGTCTATGGTGAGATGAGATTCATACTGCCACCTGCTGTCGGAGAAGTGATATTACATATTGGACACAGCGCCATCCATCCACATATTAATGGCAGCACTTGAATTATTATTGATTGCTTTTTATTTATTGAACATATCTCACCCAAAATAAAAAATAAATAATGAATTAATTACATATATTTTGGAGAAAATTAAGCTTAGATTTGTACTGTAATACTGAAAATTGACAGAATGTTTATTACTATTGATAGCATATGAGTTAGTAAACATATCTCATCAAAAGCACGAATAAACAACCAAACAAATAAAACCTATATTTGTGCTGTAATACTGAAAATTAACATAATTTGTACTATTGATTGCTTTTTATTTATTAAACATGTCACCCAAAATATGAATAAATAAACAAATGAAGTCATTAGTTTGAAAAATATTTTAAAAAGAAAAATTAGCCTATATTTGTACTGTAATACTGAAAATGATCCTGTCACCTTTTTATTGTACAGATAATAATTTTTTATTAAAATCAGAATAAACAGAAGACTTGTATAACACATACCACAATGTATTTTTTCTTTTGATTTTTGGGGTTAAAGATGATCCAGAGTCTCAGATTGTGTTTAGTCTGTGTGTATGTGTGTAAAAATACAAAATAAGACAAGCGACAATATTTAATAACCTTCTAATTTTTTATATCACATAATCAGTAATACAATTTGTTGAATTGTTCTACAATTTTGAAACTATTCAAAAGATCTACAGCTACTTTCTAATCAAGTTAAATGTAAGTATTGCCATTACCGCCACCAGGGCGGCGCCACTAACCAGCAGTACAGGGAGTTCAAAGGGTGCGGCTGAAAGCGGGTCTGCCTTTGGAACAACCTCTTCTGAAGATGACGCTGACACACTAGGTGCATTAATAGAGCCTGATTGAGAGGCATGAGGTTCCTCTGAGTGTGTGAGTGTGGAGGGTGGGAGATTATCTAAAACCTGTGAGATGATTTCAGGTATGGGAACCGAAGCCAGCGTAAAATCTAAAGGCTCAGACAGAAGAGGAGTGTGAGTGAAAACTGGCTCTGAATCCATCTCTGCCTCAATTTCCTCCACCACACACATCAGGAGCTCCACAGTCTCTGGAGGCTTGAGATCTGAGTCTGCAGGACGTTCTCCAATCTCTTCCAGCTCCTTCTCACTGCCAATCATGCTCAGCACGCTGCTCTGAAGCTCCTCCTCCTCTTCTGACTCCGCCCTCTGATGGAGCTCCACCTCTAGGTGGATGATGTTGTCAGAGGCGGAGAAGTGGTTTTCACTGTGGTCCTCTTGAACTAGGACAATCTCACTTCCAAGCTCTGGCTCCATGTCGCTAATGGATGCCCAGGACTCAGCTAGACTAGCAGTCTGCCAGGGGCCGGACCCACTGCTGCTCTCCTCCAGGCTTGAGGTTTGATCCTGACGAGAGTCGGGCCCCACAAACTGCCTGTCATCAGACAGGATGGAAGATCTTTTACTCCTCTGTGAAAATCTGACTAATTTTTAAAAAGATGAGAGACAAAATTCATTCAGGCATGTAAGTGCATTGTGTCACTGTTTAATTAAATTAATATGAGCATTGTGGGAAACTTGGGATGTAAAAAGTTATTTTACAGCTTACGTTTTGCTGACGTTTAATATAAGAACAAATTCAAAAATATAAAAAGCCATTGACAACCCATTTTACTTCAGTGATTTGAACTATGAAATGACAGCAACAACAATCAAAAAATGAATAAATAAAAACAACAATAATAATAATAAAAACCAAAAGTAGGTTATACAAGGTTAAACATTTTGCCCATCATATCGACAGACATAAGAATTATAGCATAATAGTTATAGTATAATAATTTTTTAATTAAAAAAAAAACATGATAGTCGAGGAATTTTACCTTAAAATTTGCATTTATGTAAAAATGTACCAAGAAAAATAAATTAATTAATGTATTGAACCTTTTGTGTTGTAATAAAGAAAAAAATTAAAAGTGTTTAAATATATTCTGAATTTGTTTTCCTGAGTGATATGTACATAGGTACAAAATAAAATAATAAATAGTAATAATTCAGTCATTCTCAGAGAAAAAAATGTTTCTCAATACTTTTAATATATTTAGAAAGGGTAACATTTTTGTAACATTTTAAACTTATATTTTATATCTATTTGGAAGAGACCAAACCAAATTGAATTTAATATTCAATGAGGGAAAAAATGTGGGACAGGATTTTGTCCATTAACTCATATTTTGTCCATTACAAACATCCTAATTTATCATATCGTATCATATTGTGATCTATGTATAGGCCAGTAAGCTCATATCTGACTGGCTATGCAACCATTATATATATCTCCATCTGCTGAATAGAGAATCTCAGATATTTCACATTGCATGACTGGATCATGGTTCAGTTCACGTAGTTCTTACACAAAATGGACATAGATCTACTTACTCTTTTATGACTAGATTTAATTTAATTTGTCAGAGTAACAAATCCTAAACTCATAAATCTCTTGCTCTTGCATAAATCTAAATGCAATTTAGATTTAGATTTTTGGGGTGAAAGAAAACAAAATGGACACATTCATACTTACTCTTTTACGACCAAATGTAATTTGTCAGTAAACTCTATGATTATACAAATTTTCATGTCCAGACACATTAATGAAGTACAGAACATGGTGGTAACAGCAGTTATCGTTTGCACCAGCACCGCTTTAGTCACGTCACAGTGAAAACATGTGCAGCGTCAACAGTCAGATTGTGAAGAGACAGTAAACTAAAGCCCATCGGCAAGATCAAAGGTCGAAGTGCTTAAAGGGATCAGATGAGCAAGAAATACATGCTGTAGCTTTTTAACTTTGACCTCTGACAGAGGCAGATTGTGAACCAATGGAAAAAATGAGAAACAGGTGAGAATGACAACACTGGTCAGTTATTCTATATAAACCTAAAGAGAGGCATATTTTAACCAGCAGGAGTAACTAGTTAAGTATGGCTGCATAAGTCATTGACTAACCAGACAGTTAATATAATGAGACGATCTAATCTAATTATCTTTTCAGCCTGTTAAAGCGTGACAGATTCCACTATATTACTACTGTTATAGAAAACATGCTTATGGTACCTTACAGCACTGCAGATTTTTTGAAATGGAGTATCATTTGAAATTAAAACAAACTGCCCAAGCTTACATTCTCATATTACCCATACAAGAAATTGAAACAGCACATACTGTCATATTTTTAAGACTGGAAAACAGTAAATACCCTTCTGTTATAGACAAAAGTCTACACACAGAATACAAACAGTCTTAACTCTGCAAAAGCAGCCATTGAAAACAGATCTTACCTTCTCTGAGGGCAAGGTTTAGTCAGACTGGAGGCTTGAATAAATACAGAGGAGGGTCACTGGAGCAACAGAATGCAGTCCAGCACTTCCCTGCCCCCTAAAATCCCACCCCTATCCAATTACATCTGTCCAACTCATGGTGACACGACAAAGCAGCAAAACTCCCATCGGTCCACTTACCTTTGTTCGGTTCTATAATGAGGGTCATGACACATCGATCTGTTTGAATTTGATTCCAGTTTGCTTGACGTGTTTGTTTGACAAAGTTAGCATCCATCTTGTGATTAAAGGGATAGTTCACCCAAAAATGAAAATTTAAAATGAAAAACTCAAACCGTTGTAGTCTGTCAGTAATGGAAGTGAATGGGAATCCCGGCTTTGAGAGTAAAAAAAAACATACACAAAGAAAACCAAATTAAACCCTGCGGCTCGTGACGAACTGTCCTTAGTGCGTTCTCAACAGCCATCCGCCTTAAAGCACGCAAGAAGAAGACGCATCACGCGCCGGCTGTTGAGAACATGCTCAGGACAGTTCGGACATTGCGGTGAATCAGAGGTAAAAAACGATTTAAATACTGTTCAGTTTCTTGAACAGACCGATCGTTTTGTGTCTTTACACATCAATGTATCGTCACGAGCCGCAGGGTTTAAATTGGTTTTGTTTGTGTATGTTTCTTTGACTCTCAAAGCCGTGATTCCCATTCACTTCCATTATATGACTGACAGACTGCAACAGTTTGAGTTAAAAATCTTTGTTTGTGTTCTAGTGAAGAAACAAAGTCACCTACATCTTGGATGCCCTGGGGGTAAGCAGATAAACATCAAATTTTCTTTTTTGGGGTGAACTATCCCTTTAAGGTCAATGTTACTTCCTCTTTCCCCTCATTTTTCCACCATTTCACAATGATCATATGTGCCCGAATACAGTTTGTGTACAGTTTTTACTATGGCACTTGCTGTATAAACGTCCGTGGTACGTAATTTGTACGTCTCACAACATTCAAAACTGTTTTATGGCGTTTTGGTCTATTTAAAGTTTTTTGGAACGACATTTGATCAACTGAACAATCAGTATGTTGCTAAACAACAGTACAATCCATTAAACCACTGTACTTAAGTCCCTCACAGACTAGGTTTATGTTGTTATTTTATCATTTTAAACTACACAAGCCTTTTTTAAAAAAAGTTTTATATTTGATTATTACTCTTAGTAATATTGTCATTATTATTATCGCCTGTAACAGGTTCAAAATAATCGCATGCACGTAAACCGCAACAAAAAGCCTAGACGCGCACTGTGATCTGATTGGCTCCCAGATAGGAAACACGCATCATGTGATGCGTGTGTCATCATGGACTGAGAATCAGCTGATCCTTCCAGTCTATTTTCACGACTCAGACACTGTCACGGTCGACCCTTTCATGTCATTTTTTGTGCGTTTTTAAATCTGTAGGCTTTTCGAAAATATATTTGAAATCTATTTTTTCACGCAGACGTCTTTCCGTCGCCGCGAAACGAGCCCTTTCAGTCGGTGGAGTTTAAAATCCTCTTACAGCAGCAGCAGCAGTCATGGCGCTCAGCGATGCCGACGTCCAGAAGCAGGTGAAAAGGCGTTCAAATGCATACTTTATTCTGTATTACACCGTAACACTGTAGCAAGATTAACCCCTCGGTGATTTGACAAATGCATTGTTTTAGGCGAGCCTGGCACGAGCATCGATCATAAAATACCATGATGTGGCCGTCAAGGTTGTTCGTCATTTATTCATTAGAAACGCGCTTGAATCACGAGACCTGTCTATATAATAATAATGACTTTATATTAATACATTTTAATACGTATACGCGATCACGCACATGTGCATAAAGGATCAATAAGGAAAAATTAAATTGAGCATCTCATTCGAAAACAAATGCACCAAGGTAGTGTGATGAATAATATCAAACATTCACAACAAAAAGACCAATTTTAGAATGCAGATGATACAGAATATTAAGATGCAGGACGTTCTGCATAGTAATAACATACTAAACACACACACACACTAGAAAGACACATTCCACATCCTTGTGATGGAGCCACAACAGGGCAACTCATTGCTACTGTAACATTAAACAGATTTCAGATGATTTTTCTCAGAGGAAACAACCAACAAGGGTCTAACAATGTATTTTATACAAAATTAGGAAACAAAGATATGCAAGTGCTTGCATTTACAAGTGGGTTTTAAATATAGTAATCCTGTTAGACTTCTGCTTTTCATGTTCCTTTAAAGCATTTTTTCCCTGATAGATGTTGAATTATTGTTCTTTTGATTCCCATATCTTTCCAGATCAAGCACATGATGGCTTTCATTGAGCAGGAGGCCAATGAAAAAGCAGAGGAGATTGATGCAAAGGTAATTTTTTATTTAGTCTAGTCTAGCTTTAAATTATTCCACTAAAACATCTAAAGACTATCTTTAAGAGGCTGTGACAGTGGAAATGGTGTGACCGGCCATTTATAAGAACTGATATGATGATAAGTGACTCCCCCTGCAGGCAGAGGAGGAGTTCAACATTGAGAAAGGTCGGCTGGTTCAGACTCAGCGTCTGAAGATTATGGAGTATTATGAGAAGAAGGAGAAACAGATCGAACAGCAGAAGAAAATGTGAGTGTGACTTCCTCTGACTGAAACAGCCAGACGCCCAAATCATTACTGTGCAAACTTCCAGTTTCCTCAAAATTTGTTACTCAAACAATTATTTCATGCAGTAAAATGTTTGATCATTTAGTTATTTATGAATGTTCAGATGTTTTAAATGTTTGCTTCATGTCCACAGTCAAATGTCCAACCTAATGAACCAGGCCAGACTGAAGGTCCTGAAGGCCCGTGATGACATGATTTCGGTTAGTTTCTGTTCTCTTTTGTAGCACATCTAGCCTTAAAAGAAATATTGGGTTTATGTTGTCTGTTTACATTGCATGTATTAATTCTGTTTTTTTTTTTTTTTAGGATTTGCTAAACGATGCACGTCAGCGACTAGCGAATGTAGCCAGAGATCCATCCAGATACGCTGCTCTGATGGACGGACTGGTCCTGCAGGTGAGTGATTGTATAATTAAACATTATAGCAAACCATGTCTGTCAAAGACTGTATGCGAGTCTTATCAGGACACGCTCTGATATTCTCATGTTTCAGGGTTTTTACCAGCTCCTGGAACGCAAAGTGACCATCCGTTGCCGCAAACAGGACGTGGGCATAGTGCAGGTCTGTAGTCCACTAAACCTAAAACTAAAACCATAACAAAAAACAATTGTGTTACTTGAAATAAAATAAATGTTAACTGAAATAAAACATAAAAATTCAGCTAGTTGCCAAGAAGACATTACTCATTTTCATTTAGTTTAGCTTGATGTATTAAAATATCAAAAGATATAAAAATAAAAAAAATTTAAAAACAAAAGGCACACAAAATTAGTAAAACTTTGAAATTAAAATGGAAATTTGTAAATATTAATAAAAACTATAATAGCATATTAATGAAACAAACAAAAAAAACACTGGCTTCAGCAATCTAAGATTATATGATGTATTATATAATGTAAATTATGTATTTTATATATTTTATTTTAGCTAGTTACTAAGACTGCATTTTTATTTTTTAAATTTATTTTAACTTGATGTACTAAAATAACTAACTAAAACTTAAATATAATAAATAAAAAATAGACATAAAAAATTACAAAAACAGCAAAATTCAAACTTTGAAATTAAAAAGAAAATGCAAAATATTAAAAACACTGTAATAGTATCTCAATGATACTAATTTAAATATAGTTTAACTTCTTATATAGTTATATAATTATATATACACTTCTATAACACACACATTTTAACTTCATGTACTAAAATAACTAAAATGGAAATATAATTTAAAAAGACAAAAAAACAAATACAATGACAAAAAACAATTACATTTGAAACTTTAGATAAAATTAAAATGAAAACAAAACATTCATAATTTTAATCAAATCTATAATAGTATCTCAATGACTCTAAAAATAACACTTACTGCAGCAAATAATCTTGTTTATTACTTTGGCAATTATTAATAACCGATTACTTCATGATATAAACCAAGCACAAACATGTGTTATATTAGGCTGCTGTGCAGAAAAACATTCCCATCTACAAGGCAGCAGTGAAGGACAATCTTGAAGTGCGTATTGACCAGGAGAACTTCCTCTCTCCAGAAGTGTGAGCATCTGCCGTTTCAGTATCTCGTTTACAAAATTAGCCTGAATACCTTTTTTTACTTAATTGTGGTTTTTGAATATATGAAATGAAAGTCTCTGTGTTTTTTTTGTAGCTCTGGTGGTATCGAGCTGTATAATGCTGATGGGAAGATCAAAGTGTCCAACACTCTGGAGAGCAGGCTGAACCTCATAGCACAACAGGTACAGAAATTGGGCCGAGAGGGTTACGATTAAGAGAAGCAGTGTGAATTGTACGATAGATTTTTCATTTTCGATTCTTTTCAGATGATGCCGGAAATCCGAGTCACCCTATTTGGTGCAAACCAGAACCGCAAGTTCATGGACTGATCCTCACTCGCTCCAAACCACGGCAGAACGCCATTGTTTGATGTTGTATTTTTATTTTTATTCTGATGTTAAAGACTCCATTCCTTGTATTTAAGAAAATATCATGTGTATGTGTGTGTGGTGATTCATTATTGCTGTAAAAAGGATCAAAATAGTGTTTCGTTTGGCTGCTAGAACTCCGGTCCATAACATCTCGTGTGTTTGATTCTGAATGCAGCTGTAATATAACACGGTTATGTTTACAGAAACGCCTGAGTGAGCTCAGTCTTAAACTGATGTAGAAATTCCACGATTGTTTGTGAACTCACCCATTTTGTGGCTGTGGAGGAGAAGACGGACCCATCTTGAACATCCATCAGAAAAACAAAATTTTTATTTGCTTTCCTGTGGTGCAGAGCATGACCTGTATATCACAAGCAATCGTGTCTGTTATTGCTGCAAAGATTATATTGATGTGAAAATGATATATAATGAAAAACAGTACCAAACAGATCTTCTCCCATTGTCTTCTTACTGAGTGTCGTGTTGTTAGCGGGTAAATGCCAGTCATTTGGGGAATGTCATAATGACAAGGGTTTGCAGAAGGCTCTTGTTCCTGGGTCACTTGAGATTTCACAGTATGTCACATGCTCCATTGTCATCACAT